TCAAAACTACTCATCCATAAGTTCCCGAAATAAGTCGTCAGGTTTCATATTAATGGTGAAATAAGTTCAATAAAAGGAACTCATTAGATCAAAAGAATTACCTGATGCATCCAATTAAACACAGTGTCAACGTCATCGTAGATGGAATGATAAGACATGTAGATAGAAGCCAGTTTTACACCGTGATCTAGTTTTGTATACTTAGAATCGTTGTGAAACATATGAATTACACAGGAGAGAAGGTAGAGTTCTGAAAGTATAAATAAAGAGTAATCACGAATCTGGACAGAGCGAGTTCGGTGTTGCTGAAAATCACTGACTTGGTAAATCGAAGAGTGTGTTCATTATTATAATCCTCGTCTCGTCATACTTCAAGAACTTGTTTGGGTACATCGTCAGAATCTCGCTCCTATTAGAAGTTGTGTAAAACAAAAGGAAAATTACGGTGGAATGACATTGAAGCCTCGAAGGCAGACCAAAACGTTTCCAAATTGGTCCAATTTGAGCAAGGTCCCATATAACGTATCAAACCACAAACCGCTGAAATGAAAAAAGATCAATTTTTAGTCATAACAACTACAACACTAAAACTAGCATAAGAACCGACTGGAATAAGGATCCAATGGCGGCAAGAAAGTTTCCTCGCACAACTAACCGAACAGGAAAGGAAGGCTCATAATTAAAAGAAGCAAGCTCCTGGGGATATCCGATCTCAACCAAACGGTCGCGCAAAATTCGAAAGGCAAGTTCCTCGTAATATGGAGACTTGTATTCTTAAAGAAAATTGCATAAGTAAAAGAAGTTAAACATACGTGCAAGAGTGTAGTCCATGTCAAAGCCAAAGAATCTAATTGAATCAAGACGGAGACTTCTGTTTACAAAGATTCTAAAGAAGACGAATTCAGAACTATTATATTTATAACCTCAGCTTAGTATCACGTTTGTAACCCAAAATTGGATGTTCAACATATCCTTTAGACTGCTTTGTCATTTCTAAAATTGTCAAGAA